TCAGCCACTATGAATTAATTAGGAGCCAAATGTACAGTGATGATATTGAGCAATGCGGCCGCAGCTTATGTTAAAGGTAGGGAATGAAAAGTGGACAGACTTGGTACTGTGGAACTGTTATGTCTTCATCCCTGCAACGTATCTCAGAAGATAGTCGCACTATTTTAAATCCCGTTAAATCCCTTCATATAACATTCTCCCTGCACGCACAATGATGCTTAGGCTATTATCCCAGAGGTCTGGGCTTCCGCTAGTTCTGGTTCTGCCCTGAACCTTCAGGAAAGAGGAAAACTCCACCTCCAGGGAAGGCCAAGAGACAAGGTCATTCACAGGTCTCCGCAGTTGTCTCCTTGCCTGTCATTGGCTAAACCAAACTGGACTAGCGATGCAATAAAAAGGAGCTCTTACAGCATTTGAGGCTTTCAGAACTGATTATCGCTGTGCCTCATTACATAAATTGTCACTTTATTCTCTGAGGATTTTTCTTCCCGAGAAGCTAAGTAGCTAAAACAAGGAGAATCCCTTTTGCCAATTGCAACCCTTAGAGATATCTTGGAGTCAATTGGGTGCCTCCTTTTGGCTCATATCCATCAGACTCCTGTCCCTAGATGTAGTCTCAAAGGAGTAGTGTATAAGGAAAGACCTCTTTAAGTGTGCTTAAAGGCTTGGAACAAAAGGCTTGAAGGAGATCGGTTGACTTCCCCAGATTTTCATTCAGGAATGTGAAAATAACCCTGACTGAACCCCTCCCCTCAAAGGACAAGCCCGGGTGCTTAAAAAGACTTCCATTCTTAGTTACTTCTAACCCTATAACACTGAGTGAGACGTTTTCGTAATATTTCATTAAATGTATATATCAATAGATATTGATAACTATGAAAGTAAAGAATAAAAACAAAACAATTTTTCCGAAATTAAAAATTCAGGCATTATAGGGCTAATCACTCAGCTTTGGGCTGGCTTGCACATGTGACCTTAGACATAATCAAGCGCATTGAGGGGCGAGTCACTGGGTTTAGGGGCTCAAGGGCCATAGTCTCAGGGACACTAAGGTCACTTGGCATAACGTAGGTCATGAAGACAGTGTTCTATAGCCTCACAAGCTCCTGAGCAGGCATCTAAGGTGTAACTGTTGGCCTCTCGCCGTCTGGAGGAAAGAAAAGCGATGAAAGCAGAAAGACACAGAGAAAGATTTAATCCAGTGACTTGATGGTCCGTGCAAACATCAGTCTCAGCAATCAGGAGACCAGAAAAACGAGTTGGTGCCTGGCTTTCACTAACAACTGCTCTAAAAAAATTGCATGAGAGATTCCTGGATAGAATGTTAGAAAATTGTGGAACAGAACGAACAATCATGAAAGAGACCGGGTTTGTTGGTTGCCTAGAGACTGATGGAACCACTAAGACCCTTCACGTCTGGAAGTAAATTTGCCCAGTGTTAGAATAATCAACCATTTAGGGTCAAAAGGACAGCATTTACTCAAAGACAAAGGGTTCGGGAAGAAGAAGCAATGGAAACAGAAAGCGCGGGGTGGGGTGGGGGGGATAAATGATGGGGCGTTGAGGAGTTTGAACAAGATGAGCTGAAACAAGATGTATACAATTGTTAGATGCAAAACTGGTTTTCTGCTCTGTAAACCTTTACCTTAAATCACACTAAGAACCTTAAAAAATACTTTTCTAGGTTGAGTTCATTTTATTTGCCATTTTCATGTCATTATCTTCATTGCTACTGTCATGCTTGGCAAAGTGGAGGGGCAGCGCAGAAGGCGGCCCTGGATGAGAGGGGTTAATATAATGGCTGCAGCAATGGGCTCCAATATGAGAACCGTTGTGATGAAGGCCCAGGACCAGGCAATGGTTCACTCTGTCGTACACGGGGTCGCTCAGTGGCACCTAACAACAAATCTTTATGTCTTTCCTCTTATTTATATTAATTTTCTTTGAAGTTGTCCCATAATTTATTATTTTCCCAAAGTTTAAAACAATCTGTTCTATCTTGAAATCTTCTTGCCTTCCCCTTTGTCTGAAAGTCCCGTAGCTACGCTCTTCCTTCGATTGCCTTTGTAATTGTCTCCATGACAAGTCCATATCTCTGGCTTCTATTTTTCGTCTTATAAGTTTGTTTACTTCAGATATATACTTCTGTATTTGCATTTCTTGTGCGTCAATTTGTCATATTGTGGTGGCTTGAATGTTGCTGTGATTCTGGAAGCTATTTGTGTTAGTCTGGGTAGACTAGAGAAACAAATTCATAGGCAGTCATATATGCATAGGAAAGAGCTTTATATACAAGAGCAATTGAATATTGCTAGTGTAGTTTCATGTGTCTTGTCAGTTGCAGTGTCTCCCAAGGAGTGAGCCGTGTCAGTAGAGAGTTTCCAAGGGAGTGAGCAGAGAGAGAGAGTGCTCCCACTTTCAAGGAGGAATACAGGAGTTCCCAGAATGCTCAGGAGAAGTCCGTGCCCTCACAGAGGCCTCATTGGCTATGACCTGATTGACAGGCTAGACTCCACCCCTTCACTCTTAATCCTCTCAAATTGACAAACAATTATGTAACTACTATACTATGTCACCGATATTTCAAATACCAGCAGGCTCACCCAAGGTGAACAGGTTTCAGTGGAACTTCCAGACTATGAACACAGGACAAAGGAAGAACAGGCTGTCCACTTCTGAGGGATTATTCACTGAAAACCTTATGAACAACAGCAGAGCATTGTCAGACATAGTGCTGAACAATAGAAGAGGCATGACCAGGCTAGGTTTCATTCTGTTTTGCATATGAATGAGAACCAACCGATGCAGTGAATGAGAACCAATGAATGAGAACTCACAATGAATGAGAACCAACCGATGCAGTGGCATCAATAGTGGCAGCATATCGGTGTTGACTTCTGGGTGGTGTGATCATGTATGTCAGTCTCAGGTTGCAGTCTGTTATTGTTAGTTCTCTGCCCAGAGAGCTACTTTTTGTATTTCTTGTAGGGCTTCGCTGGTTTCCAAAAATTCTTTTCATTTCTGCTTATCTGGAAATGTCCTAATCACCATCAAATTTAGACACATTTTTCTGCATATATAATTCTTGGATGACATCTTTGTATCTGTCTGGGTTTTATGTATGTCTTCTCACTGCCTCCTTTCCCACATGCTTTCTGCTGAGCAATCAGAACTTATTCTAATCTGTGCCCTTTTATAGAGAACTTTTCATTTTGCCTCAACTGCTCTCGGGATTTTATTTTTTTTTTTGTATTTGGTTTTGGAAAGTTTAATTATGAAATGGTGATTTAGGGGGGAATATATTCTGTTTGGGGTTCCTTTACTTTCTTGAATGTATATCTTCTTGCCTTTCAAGTTGTTAGGGAAGTTTTCTTCCAACAACTCTTCCACAACTTCCTCTGTGCTTTTTGTTTCTTCCTCTTCTGGAATTCCAGTTCTTCCAGTCACATGTCAGTTCTTCCAGTTGGGAATGCTTCACATAATCCTTAGGCTTTCTTTGGATTCATTGTTGCTGCTGTTCTTGGTTGTTCTTGTTCCTCTAGAAGACCAGCATGAGGATGTCTTCAAGCTTACCACTGTGACCTTCTATTGATTCACTTCTTCAGCTTTGCTTTCGCAATGCATGACCTATTTCTGAAAACTTAGTCTTGTAGGTTTCTGTTTTCATGGTTTATAATTTTTTTCATTTTCTTTGCGTACTGTTTTTCTAAAGTTATTTTTTCTCCACGATTCCCTCACTTTCATCAATCTTTCTCACAACTCCTTTAAGGAGTGTAAATTCCGTTCTTTTGAAAGACTCATCAGGTATATCAGGCAGTTCCAATATAATTTTTTCTCAAAAAGGTCTCCTGACTGTATTTTGATCACTTGTCTTGAGCCACTGTTTTGTTCCTTCGTGTAAACTAAAATAGTATGTTGTCTC